CTGGACTAAGGTGAGGGGAATGATGTACTTGGCAAAAATTTTGGTTCCAAAATTTAGGAAGGTACTAAAACATTCAATAATCAAGATACAAAATATTTTAAATCAAAATTAATGCAAAAAGTATGGTGAACACAGTACCAAAATTTTAGCTAAAAACTTTGGTAGTTCTGATGTTTCCTTTTGCCAGAAGCTCTAATATGGCTTTATTTAGGACTATTATTTGTCATGCTTTTACTTAAAATTTTGATATTTCAGTCATTGAGGGTTTTTGGCGTTAATTTTGTTTTTTAAAAAATATTTCATTAAAGTACTATTATTATTTACATAGATTACTGAGGTGTTTTTTTGCACCTCTCTGCATTTAGTGCCTAGGCTCTGTGAAACTCCAATCTAGGCTCCAATCTGGGCTCTGAGAAGCAGTTCTCTTGGCAGACAGCTGAGTTCAGCCTCATTGCCCTCTGTGAATCTCCAAATCCTGTCACTTCATTTGACAGAACTATATTCGCTTGCTCTCGTTGTGGCATTGCCCTTGTCGCCTGACCTGCAAGAGATTTTCAGCCTGCAGTGGATATTTGTTTTGCTGACCCAGCAACACTCTCTCCTTTGGCAACTACAATCATGCTTAGCTTGGGGACCTCACCTTCCCATGCAGAGCTGACTTCTGCCATGGAAAGAGAGGTGGGCCTGTGCCTTGACTCTGCCAATCAGAGTGTTGCATCCCTCGGTCACAGCGATTGGGTCATGAGTTGTCATGTGACTCAGTTACAGCCAATGACACTCAATTCTTGGGGGTGTGGTTTGAACTTTTAAGAAGAGAAATAGGTTAGGATGTTAACCACTGTCTTAGTCACTTTCTCATTGCTGAGACACAGTACCTGGCATCCACAAATCAAAGGAGGAGAGGTTTATTTTGTGGTTCACAGTTTGTAGAGGCTTCAATCCAGTGTCTGCTGGTTCCCAGGCAGAATGGCATGGTGGAGAAGCTACTTTTGTCACCACAGTGAGGAAGTGGTGAGAGTGAAGGGAGGAGCTAGGATTGGAGCTATACCCATCTAGCTCATGCCTACAATGCCCTGCATCTTCTGACTAGGCCCCACCTCCCAACAGCAAATTATAATATAACATTTTATAGTACAATGCCCTTAAATCCAGTTGCCTTCCATAGGGCGAGCTTTGGACTGCATAAGGCTTTAGGGAAACATCTAGATGTAAACAAACCCGAACACCACCACTGGGGGCTTGAGCCTTCTTGTGGTCCATGGAAGCCCACACAGAAGAAGTCAGTGCAGGGCCGAGGATGTCACTCAGTGGCGCTGTGCCTGCCTGGCAAACGTAAGGTCCTGAGTTCGATCCCCGGTACAGGAAAAAAAAAAAGGGCCATGCGGAGTGAGGGACATGAGGAGGAGACATCTGGTGACACTTCTGAGTCCACCAAAGCAGATCTGTCTTCTGGACTTCCGGGTGTGTGGCCCAACTCTTGCTGAAGTTGGTTTGAGTTGTGCTTTGTTGCATAGATAGCTCGCTCTAGCTCTTGCTCTCTGCATTTGGGCCAGATTGGCCCTGAACGATGCTTTGGTGATGCCCATTGCCCATGAGCAGAGTTCCAACCCAAGTATCTTCTTCCTCATGGTGACATCCAGTGTGCCATTCACCCAAGGGCAGTGCTAGACAGCAAAAGTGTATGGACAGCAACAGCCACTCTGGAAGGCATTACTGAGCGAACACTGGTCCAGCCCTGTAGGAAATATGCGCACACCTACTTACTCCATCCTGTAACAACCGGGAAGTAGGTTCCATGACCACCTCCAGGCTGAAACCAAGTCCATGTACCCTCCAGACTCAAAGTCCCAACTCACTGATCAGAGGCTGAGTGAAGGGCCTGGCTAACCTACAGATGAGCCTGATACCCACTCCATTTTGCTTCCTTTCTGTATGGATAGACTTTTCCTAGAGGCAGACTATTTCTAGGAACAGCTGAACCCAGGTGTTAGCAAACCCCATCCACACACGGCCACAACACAGTCAGCATCTTGTAATAAAGAACTTTATGCCAGTCTCCTTAGCCCAGGCTTTAAGATCAGCAGGTGGGCCCATCATCAACTGTGCCAGTCTTTGTCATCTGAGAGCGTTTATCGTTCAATAAACCGCTGAGATACAATGGTGAGCATTAGGAATGGTCCCTATGCAATTATCTAATGATAAGCATGGTGAGCACCGAGGAGGAAAAGCCCGGGCTGTTAGGGAGTATCTAAACCTGCTGGCTGCCTGGCGCTAAGCGCCATTACTCATTTGATAGGTGTTTTCTGATTGGCCCCTCAATGCTAGCCATTGTGTTAAGTGCCAAGTGCTGGTCAGAGCGTGGACTCAGGCACAGCCCCTTGCCCATCAGGCGCTCACAGCATACACTGTCTAACCAGCTTTATTTTCTGTTCTAGGATGAGCCAGCACTTCCTTCCAGAGACTACACAGTGTTCCAGAGAGCTGAGCACAGGAGCCTGGCTTTGTACACAGAAAATGACTGAAGAAAGCAAAATCGAAAAGTAGATTGGTCACTTCCATTTCTTTCCTTGTGGGGTCGGGACAGAATAATAGAAAAATAACTGATTGGTTAACATCAAGTTACTTCAGGTAATTTTTCCGGGTAAATTTAAGATTAGAGGAAACATCAGTATCATGACAATTAAAACTGATCTGTCTGGGAAATTCAGTTGTTCTCCATATAATCCTGATTTCTATGACAGCCACACACACAGTTTTTAGATTCCGCTTGGTGAAACAGCTTAGTTTAGCATGAATGATTCCATTTTGATTTTTAGTGTGGTATCTTGGGGCCCAGTCTAAAGTAATGATCTCCTGTAATTTTTATTTAGCAACATCCAGACATGGAGTTTTTGGATCATAGAGTGTACATAAAGTGCACACACCTGTAATCCCAGCATTCAGGAGGCAGAGGCAGGAGGATCACTGTGAGTTCGAGGCCAGCCTGGGCTACATAGTGAGATCTTGTCTCAAAATACCAAAATAAAAAGTTTTAGTTAGGTATTTTCCCACCAGCTGTGAGAGCTGCCCTTACTCCATATCCTTCCAAAAATTTGGGTTAGATTTTTAAAATTTTGTCAGTTGAATGAGTGGAAGTGGTATAAATATATTTTAACTCTTCATAATGAAAAATTCCAAGTATTTATACAGTAGTGAGACTAATATAATGAATTTCTATGTCTCTGTCATCTAATTCAATAATTATCAATGCTTATTGATTTTGTTCCTCTATAATCTTACCATTATTTTGAACCAAATCCCAGACATCATACTGTTTCCATCTGTAAACATTTCAGTATATTTGATCCCTGGTACCAAAACAAACAAACAAACAATAAAACATTTCAGTATATATTTCTAAAAGATAAGAATCCTCTCTTGCCTTTTTTTGTTTTTGTGATCTTGGGGATCAAACCCAGGGCTTTAAACATGTTGAACACGTGTGCTTACCACTGAACTACACCTCCAGCCCAATTCTCCTTTTTAAGCCTAACTACAATACATCATCAAAGACTCCCGAATGTCAGGAGTGATTTTTAAATATTATCAAATATTCAAATAGTGTTCACATTTTCTCAATTACCCTAATTCATTATTTTTATACTTGATTGAATTATAATTGTGATTGGTTAATATTTATCTTAAATTTCTTTTAACCCATAAATACCCCTTCCATTTCTCCCCCTTTCTTCCCATATCTTAAAATTTATTGGTTAAGTAAATCAGGTTATTTTCCTGGCATCATTTCCTCAGTTTGGATTTTACTTGTTATTGTCCCCATGGTGTCATTTTGAACGTTCCTCAGTTCCTGTAAATTTGTAGTCAGATCAAGAATAGGGGCTTGGCAAATTACGCAGCATAGCTTCACTATTTTTTGTGTTGTTTTGTTTGTTTTGAAATGGGATTTTACTAGAACACAGTCATGCCCATTTGTTTAGCTTTTGTCTAGGACTGAATTGTTGCAGTAGACTGCATAACACCAAAGCCTAAAGTACCTGGCCCTTTAGAGAGAGAGTTTGCCAACCTCTGATTTAAAGCCTTGATCAGATTCGTGCTGGGCTTTGGGGGACATGATTTCTTTATAGGAGGTGATATGTAATTCCTTCCAGAGGCCCATTTTATGTTATTGTTTTTTCTTTTTTGTAATATCAGATCAATTAATTCATAAGGAGTTACAAAATGGTGATTTTTTTTTTTTTTTTTTTTTTTTTGTCAATCCTTCATTCTTTTTCCATTTTATTTGCTGGAATGCTTACATTGAGAGCTTGGTTGCCTGAGGCACCATTCTTATGGGAAAGACAGAATAAATGTTTGATTGTTTCTCTTTAACTTACCAGTTTTCAAAATAACCAGTTGATTTCCTAACATCTTCCAAAGTTGATCACTAAGTTTGTTCATGTAAATGTATATAGTCATGAATTTAAGGATTTAAGTATATTTGATGATTTTCGACTCACTACACTTATTTTCTTTACCGGTGCTCAAATTGTTGACTTTGACCAACGATAGTCTCTTCATGTCCCTCTGACACAATGTTGTCCTTGATTTGTGGCAGTGGAAAATAGTCTCAGTACATATTGTACGTTCTCAGCCCAGAAGCAGAATCAGCTGTGTATTTTTCAAGGAAAATAATAGAGACCACAGTCTATGCACTAGTGGTGCACACTGCTCACTAAAGGGCTGGCCGTTGTTTCTAGACCTGGAAACAAGTGACAGAAAGAGTAGGTATGACCTGTTTTCAGATCAGCTACCTTAAAAATTCATACTAAAAGGGCCGGGAATTTAGCTCGGTTTTGCAGCCTGCTGCACAAACGCAAGGACCCAAGTTCAATCCCCGGTACCAAAAAAAAAATTCATACTAAAACTTCTGATTGAAATCCAGGATTAGGGGTTGGGGGTGCAGCTCAGTGGTACAGCACTTGCTTGTTGTTTGCAAGCCCCATCACTGAAAAAAAACAATCCAGAATTGTTCTTTTATTGGTACATTTTATATAAACATCATGATAAAATTCATCATAGGAAGTTTGTACCTGTACATGATGTATCTTGCTTCTTTTATTCTCATTCCCCTCCCCTCCTCCCCTCCTTATTTACAAAAGCTTTGTTTCCAATAAATCCAGAATTGTAAGGTCTTTATGTAACCCCTTTCCTCTTTTATTTGCAAATCCTTCATCCCAAAAGTCCTGCTCCTCAACAATACCCGCATTAATGATGCGCTTTACCTCATGCCATTACCCACCAATCTCAGAATAACAAGGCCGAACCTACCAGCAGCAATATAATGGCAGAAAACAGCCGGCTATTTTTAAAAATCTAATGAAAAACCTCTGAAATTTAAGGTGGGAAGGAATTGAGCAACGAGGGTCTGTGTTGACCCCATGTGACTGCCTGGTAGAACTTTTAATACCACATTCTGTCAGTCAAGATTTTGTTCTTCAATATAGTACACTCCTAGAATCATAGTCCCTCCTCTCTGAGAGCTTGCATGTGCCTAGAGTGGAGGCAGTTTGAGGTCACAGCACTGTGGGCTAGAAGAATGACCGCTGGGCTTCAGTTTCTCTCCCTAGTATATGAGGACAAGGACAGGAAGGAGAACAGTACAGTAAAGAAGGGAGTCTTGGGCACATTAAGTCACCTCTCTGAATGACTTCCTTCTGTATTAAAAGAGGGAAAACAGGGGTTTTGTGGTCTGGATTTTGGCCACAGCGGCTTCCTTTGTGTTCTCCAAACATGTCTGCCCCCGGGCCCTTGCACTTGTCCCAGCTTTTGCATCATGCTAGATCACCTTCCAAATCACCTCCCTGAAGTGGGCCTCCCTGACCACACAATCAAAAATATTCATCCCTCATTCCTTTAGCATAGCAGCTTATTTCAATCTTCATGGCATGATTACCAGTCTAATCTACTGCCTTGTTTATATCCACACCCCCTCGGTCTACAATATCAACTCAGGAAGAGTAGTGCTCTTGACTTTTTCACTGATGTCTTCCTAGAAGCAAAAACAGTGGCAGGCACAGGATATTTGCTGAACACCAATGCCTGTTGAATGAATGAATGCCAAATGAGAGGATGAGCTAGACAGTCTCCCAAACCTGCTTTCATCATTAAGCCCAAGGATACATACTTCATATAGTGAGTATAGACTCACAGGCGTGACTGTACCACTTCACAGATGAAGAAGCTGAGGCAGTGGGTGACTTGCCACAGTCCTCACCGACAGGCTGGTGGTGTGCCCCAGAAGCACTGTGTGAGGAGTCAAAGGAAGAGCCTTGGGTTTGGATCCCCAGACAACCTGCACTGCCAACCTTCCTGCCAAGAGCGCTGTGGACTGGATGTGCCCCTTCACCCCTGGGGACCAGACTTCCATCTGAAAAAGAAGACTGCAGTCACTCTGGTCCAGGGGTATAGGGAGGCCGGTCATCTACTCGGCACTAAGCATCCTACAGTGTTCCCTCCTTTGCTCCCAGGCTACTTCTGGAGGTGGAGATGGGGTGGCCGTGGAGGGAAAGGAGGCCCAGCTCTGAGGCTGTGGAGGAGGCAGAGTCCACTGGTTGTTTACTCACCTGGGTTCCTAAGCCCGGCTTCTGTCACCTGTGCAGGTAAAGAGGTAGGAGGAGCCTTGCTCAGCCAATAAGAGGGGCCAGCTCTCTTAAAGGGACCCAGCAGCTGACTGGAAAATGCGCCTGGCAACCTGGAGAGGTCCCAAGCCACTGTGCCAGGAGACAGACTCGCACGCAGCCTGGGTGTAACTGAGCCCTCCACAGGCACCGTGAGCCCAGGGCCTGGTCACTGTGTGTCCTGGAGGGAGCTTTCTTTGGGGAGACTTCTTTCACCTGGCCCAGAGCCCCGCTTCCCGAGAGGCTCCATGCCTAGCTGCCCTGGCAGACTCCCAGGGAGGAAAGACAGCGTGGCCTTGGCAGTTGCCCCAGGGAAGGAGTCCACAGGCCACAGGGGGAAGCCAGGACCCTGTCCTGACCCACGTCAGCAACCTCGGTGAGTCCTGATGCCTCCAGCCTCTTGAACTTCAGAAGGGGCCAGTGTGGGCAGCGCATGATGCCTCTGCCGAGGGGCAGAGAGCTTGGCAGCTGCTTCTAGCCCTGCTCTGACCTTGGCCGCGTCACTCCAGCTCTGAGCCTTACACGCCCTCTCTGGGAAAATGAGGAGCTCAATTCCTATGTCTGCTTTCCCTTTTTGCATTTTCCTGTCACACCCCTCGTTCTGAAAGCTTTGCACCCGTTGCACAGTAAGTTGCTAATGGGTCCCCCCCACCCCGCCCCCGTAGTGGCCAGCCAGTGTTTTCTGGTCAGCAGGAACAAAGAAAGCGTGGAGCCAATGCAAATTTTGCCAAAGGCAGGGAAATGTGATGTTTCAGTCTGTCTGTGAGGTCTTATCTAGAGTCAATGTTTGATTTTCATTTGACCTTTTGAAAAGAGAAGAAAAAGAGTGCTTGTGAGGAACATTCAGAGGATGGGGACCCCAAGTGGAGAGCCCCCAGGGGTCCCTCCCGCGGGTTTGTGAGAGCACCAGGTGGAAATAGGCTGCTGCCCCAAGTCGAGCTTTGGTCTAGTGGCCCTGCCTCATGCTCGGGACCTGCTCTTGAAAGGAAACATCAGATATGGGGCTCCCAGGAGTCCCGCCAGGGCCTTCCCCACCTCTGGCCCACTCTGTGGAGCTGGAGATGGGGCAGCTGAGATCTGCTCTGGTCTCTCCTGGGCCACGGCCCGGCTGGCCAGTGGTTTGAGCAGGCAGGTTCTGTACTAGAGTACAACACTGACAGGCCAGGAATATGTGATGGACCCGGCGTGTTCTGGGAATCTGGAAATTGGGCTGCAGCCCTGGTTCCACACGGACTAGCTTAGTGGCCCTCAGGCAAGTTGCTCAATGTCTCTGAAATTCAGTTTTCCCAGCTGCAAAATGGGTATTATAATTTTGGCAGTGCCTGCCTACTGGGATTATTCTTAGGGCCGTATAGTATATTTTAGGAAAGCTTAGATTGCACATACTTTAAAAGAAATTCAAAGATGTTTAAGAAAATGCAGTTGAGAATTGATGAAATCAGGTCATCAACATTTTGTAAAGTGTGACCTGTGTGATGACTTTTATGATCTTTAATTGTGGTTAGTAATTATGTGGTGAAAGAATTACTCTAATGGAAACATGATGGTGTTTGTTTAAATCCTTTTACATTTTTTAAAAAACCCACCATTTATCAGAACTTTTCAAAATGTAGAATCCTATAAACCAAAGAAGGAGAAAATAGCTCGGTGAGGCACGGAATTTTCTCATGACTCTTGGGAGGGAAACCCAGGCCCAGCATGTGGCTGTGGTGTGAGAAGCAGGCTGATCAGAGATAGGGCGGGCACTTTGGATTCCAGTCCCCACGGCAGGACCTCCGATGAACTTGGGAAGAAGTCACTTTTCTTCTCAAAGCCCCTTCTGTTCAGTCGTTTGAGCCTAAGCCAACCTGTTCTCTCCTCCCCTGCAGCTCCCTGCTAAGAAAACAAATCTCAGGGAATGCTGATTTCAAGGACTGTGGCAGCCTTTCCTCCCAAGGGAGGCGAGGGGAGAGAGTGAGGTAGAGTGAAAGCCCCGACAGTTTCCAGGAAGAGGGAATTTAGGGACATGTGCACATGCGTGTTTGCTTGTGAACATGTGAACGGGAGCAAATGGCATGAAAGTCCACAAATTCTTTGACCTCTGTAGGGTCCTGTGAGTGAGGCTCTTGCTGTGGGGCAGGCCTCCGTTCTCAACAGCCCTGGAAAGTTGCGGCTACTCCCCAGGGGAGGCTCCTAAACACCTTTCCTTGGTAACCAGCCTTGGCATCTCAGAATCCTCCCGAGGGTTGATGCAAGGTGTGTGTGAATATGTTTGACGGCATTGGGTATCTGAGTGAGAACTTCATGCATGCTGCGCCTGCAGGCCTTGAGATGGATACATTTGGGTGCAGTGGGGGTGGGGGGGGTCCCTCCTGTCCCCATGAACAAAGCTTGAGATGCTTTAGTGGAGTAGCTGCGGTTATTAAGTACCTACTATAGTTGCGTACTAATAGTTGTGCTAGGTGTGTTAAACTCACTACAACATTTGGCCAGGTGCACACCTGTAATCCCAGTACTGGGGAGGCTGAAGCAAGAGGACTGCCACGAGCTGGAGACCAGCCCGGGCTACATAGTGAGTCCACACGTTGGCATGTGGCTGTGTTGGCATAAATTATCTTGGGGTAGCTGGAGTTGTTCACTTTGTTGCCATCACTGCCTGATCGCCCTTATGACATGGGGTGGTTGGGGAGAGGAAGGTCCTGGTGGCACCAGTTGCGGTAGGACATCAGTTCCCAACGCTGACCAGAGACTTTGATTTCTACCCATATCTCTTCCTTTCTCTGCTGTAGACCTGATAGACCCATGGGAGTGTGAGATTTCAGCATCTGGGTGTCCTATTCTGACCCCATCTTTGCTCTAGAGTGCATGCAAGAGAATGTATAGCCCCGCTGAGAGGTCAGAGGTGAGAGATAGCCTTCTTTACGAGTCTTCACCATCAGTCCAGGGTCTTCCTTGGGTTCTCAGATCAGATCCTTGGAGCCATGGGAAATCAGAGGTGGAAACGTGGGTGGTACTTTTAAGTTTAGATCGCTTAGTACACTCATGAATCAGTCTCATCTCATTGGCCATTTCTGGTCCATCAGTAGTGTTGAAAAGGTTTCTGAAGCTGCACACAGGCGCGGAATAACCAGAGCCTGTGACCGGTAGTGTCTGCTGCGGACATGGCAAGGGGAAACTCCAGTAGGAATGCCAGAAGCATGCTGCCCTTGAGCGGGCCAACCTCCCGGTTGTGCAGATATCAAAACTGCTCTCTGGGTGGGAAGACGACTTGCCCACAGTCACACAGAAAGGTCAGGTGGACACAGGCAGATTCAGAAGCAGGGCTTCTCTTGATTTGTAGCCGTATTACTTCTGCTGTTTTCGCTCAGCGAAGAAACTGAGGGGGGAGAGAGAGAGAGAGGGAGAGAGAGAGAGAGAGAGAGAGAGAGAATGTGGGATGATTGAAGCAAGAAGTCAGACCTGGCCCCAGGAGTCCTGGGGAGCATAGAAGAGGTGGGGGTGAAGGAATTCAGTTCTGTGCCACTAGACTGAGCCCTGCCAGCCTGGCCTATTGGCTTCTGCTCCACTTCTCAGAGTCCCCTTGCTCCTGCCCCAGTTTCCCATCTCATTTTCCTTGGGCTGAGAGTGCACACTGGAGCAGAGGGGTCTCTGGGGATCCTGGGCCCTAAATACCCTCTTTTGGCAGCCTTCAGCAGGCTCCCCACTCCTTCTCTTCAGGAAGAGAAGTCCTAGACAAAGGATCTTAACCATTTTGATGCCATGGACCCACCTGGCAATCTGGTGAAGCCTGTGGAACCCTTCTCAGAATGTCTATAAAAACTATAAAATAGAATATACAAGACAACAATGGAAACCAATCATATGGAAATACAGTCACCAAGATCTTTTAATGTTTATGATGTAGTGTATGTGCTTCTTTCCTACTGCATTAAAAATGAGGTCTGGTGGCAGATATATTAACTATTGCAATTTTAAAATAGGGCTGAGCATAAATGATATTTTGAAAGACTTACAGTGACTGTTATGTGATATGAAAATATCTGTGATTTCCCTTGGTGACACAGTCAGAGGTTCGTTGTTTCTAGGGTTCATGGCTTACCTTCATCATGGAACAAAATGTTTAACTTGAGTTAGGGCTTAGTGAACATAAAGATGGAATGTTCTCCACTCAGGTTTAGAGACATCCTGAATTCTACCTGTGGATCTGAAAACTCTTGCTCTAAGATCCTCAAATATGAGTCTGCCAGGAACCCTGGGGACTCTGGAGGTGTTGTGAAGGGTGCCAGAAGGAGGGGGATTATGGGCAAGCAGGGTCACTGGACAACTGGAGAGCCTTGAGTCCACCATCTCTGTGTCAGCTTAAGAAGACTCTTATCTCTTTGAGTTCATTTCAGTGATTCATGTAAGATTCCATTTTTTCTTAAAAGTTCCCCTGTTTGTGTTTGAATGTAGAAAATCTTCACTGGCCCTGCTTGACCCACCAGCTAAAGCCAAGAGAAGTGAATGTGTCGCCCTTACCATTTGATGGGGGAGGGGGAGTCCAGGGAGAGAAAGTGGAAGCCACTCAGTTGGGCAAGCTTCCCTGTCCCTCGTCCTGCCAGCTGTCTCAGGGAAGCAGTCTTCCATGGCCAAGAGTCAGCAAACCTGGATTTGAGGTCCTGGTTCTGTTACTACCACATGTTTCTGCAAAACAAGAGACAATAATGCCTGAATGGTAAGAAGACCAAATGAGAGAAATTTGTTAAGAAGCAGAAAGCACCAGCAAGGGAATTTTAATACCTAACATCCTTTTCTTCCTTCTCCCTTGGGTCCTTTTTCCTCATAACAGCAAACCAGATACTCTTCCATCCTATAAGAGCATTGTCCCAGTCATCAAGTGAGCAATGCATTCAGATTGTGGCTAGACATCCAGTCACCCACTCTGCCAATTCCCCTCCTAAATTCCTTCTCTTTCCTGTCCCCTCTGCTTTGTCATTATTGTTGGCCACACTTCCGTAACAGTCCCGATCATTCTCTGCTCCATCTGCCTCCATGGAGGCACAAGTTCTGACCATATCCTACTTTTTTCTGCAGTGTCCTTGGTGTCTCCTCACTGCCCACAAGGCCAAGTCCGGGGCTTCCAGAGTATAGAGACCCATGCTCCACATCACTCGCCTCCAGCCTCCTCACCTGCTCCCTGTCCCCAGTGTCCTGGTCTCCTCCTACAGGGAGGCTGGTGGGCTCCTTTTGCTAAGTCTTCTCTGCCTTCTACATTATCCCAGACAATTATGCAACTCCAGGGAGCCACAAGAAGGAGAGGTAGGGAACTAGGAGTGCTGTTCTACCTGAGGCTAGTGTGGTAAGGGGGGGGAAGCTGAGCAAACAGAAAACTCAGAGGAGTTCCATTAGTGTGGACTGGGGACAGGTGTGGCTCTGCCCTCTGTCTGAGCCAGATGAGTTATTTTCAGAGACAGTTGCTATCATCTACAGTCAGGGAAAGCCTACCGTTCACCATGCTTACTGGAATCAGGTCACCAGGAACGTGATGCAGCCAAGCATTCTGCAGGGAGAAGTCACAGAATCTCTGATTCTTAGAATGTCAGAGTTGGAAGGGAGCTCGTGGATCTTGACTCGGGTTTGAGTTCTTTCTGCTTTTGATAGGAAAATGAAGCCCAGTGCAGCAGAATGACTTGCCCAAGGTTACACAATGAGTTGGAGGCCAAGTTTGGCCTGGACCCAACATCTGATTTTCTTTTCAGTCTTCGTGTTCTGGACTCAGAGATCTGGACTTCTGCCAGGAGATTGAATAACTTGTCTGGGACCGATTCACAAACAGTGGGTTAATGTGTCACTGCTAGGCAGTGTGACTGTTGGCTCTTACCAAGAATTGTGAACACCTTAACCCAAGGTCCCCAGCGGGGGGACATGACAAGTTACAAGTGTGCTGCGATGTAAGTCAGAGCCCTTGAGCCATGACTGGCCAGGTGGAGGGGAGGGCAGCTGGACCCCCAGCCCTGCTGGGACAATCACCTTCAGCTCAGACAGCTTCACAGTAGCTCCGGGGCACCAGTCCAAATGTACTGTGAAGGGAAAAGTTGGGAAAGCACTGCATTAACCTGAAAGTATGAGTCATTTGAGGGGTGCTGAAATTTTAGGGGTATCAAGCAGGGTGGGGAAAGGAAGAGTCTGAAGACTCATGTTCTAGTAATGGCTGTACCACTTCCTTCTTTTTTATGTGTTGGGGGACAGGAGGAAAAAGAGGTGCCGTATGTTGCACCTCATTTAATCTTTCAAATAGTTTTACTACTAGGTGCTGTTATGAACTCCATGATATAGATGGAAAACTGGGAAAAGAAGGGACTTAGCCAAGATTTCACTATAACTAAGAAGCAGTGCATTTGGGATTTGAACCCAAGTCTGTCTTGTATGAATTGTGTGTTTTTAACTGTTCTACCATTAGATTTGTTTGGGGACAAGCAGGAGACAGAGATTTGGGGCTTTTTAGGCCTGCTTTCCCAGCAACAGGGCTGCTAAGTCTCCCTCCAACCCCAACTGGCAGGCTGGAGGGAAGACTTCAGAAGAGGCAATACAGGCAGGAGGGCCCAAAGACCCTTAAGCAGTCAAGGCAACCCTGCCCCTCACCTGCCTTGGTGATGTGAGATTATCAGCAGGACTGGGGGAGGGTATCTGAGCCCTGCCTAAAAAGAACCAGGATCCCTTCCGAATCCTTTCAGGAAGGGCAAGGTGATGAGATCACTGTTTACAGTGATACCTCTGAAACACATAGGAAGAAAGCTGGAACCAGGCCTCTTGTTCACCATGCTAATCTTCCTTTAAATAATAACTCCATGCAGTTGTTATAACTACATGCAGATCCAGTTACGCTGCCACACACTATATTCACATTGCCTCAGTCTTCCCAGCAGTCCTATCTTCAATAGCTCCTGTTATTATCATCTTCGTTTTACCAGGTGAAGAATCTCAAGTTCTGAGAGTTCATGGAAACTACCCAAGGCCACACAGGGACAGAGCTGGCATTTAAACTCAGATCTGCATGGACCAAGTCCATGTTCTTAACGATTATAGTGTAATCTGGCAGGGTGGGGAAAAACACAGTTCTGATTCTGGATTCAAAACTCAGGCAGCTCACCAACTTCTTAGTGGACCAGTCAGGGGACCTTTGGGCAAGTCTTCTCCGAGTCCAATATCTAGGACTATAGAAAGGTAATTCGGGCCGGGGACTTAGCTCAATGGTTCCGCCGCCTGCCTTGCAAGCACAAGGACCTGAGTTCGATCCCCGGTACCAAAAAAAAAAAAAAAAGAAAGAAAGGTAATTCCTTTTCTGCCTACAGCTTCAGATTTTGAAATTTTAAAATGTATAAATTATCATCCTTGAAGACTTGAAATAAGGGAGGCCATAGTACTACAGAGAGGAACAGGGCATAGTTCCTGCCTCTGAAAATATATAAAATAAATATTACTGGGTGTAGTGGTGCATGCCTGTAACCCCAGTACTTGGGAGGCTGAGGTGGGGGGATTGGGACAAGTTCGAGGCTAGCCTGGACTACATACAGAGTTAAAGGCCAGGCTGAACTACATAGTGAGACTCTGTTTCAAAAATAGATAAATAAATATTGAGTGAGAAAGTATTTTACATTTCCAGTAATTATAGACTAACCTTCTCACTGGGAATTATTAAAAGAGCTGAACAAAATAAACTTGTCAGTGTGTGTGTCTATGTGAAGGCATTATAGAGTTACAAAAGCAACAAAAACCTGAGGGACCAAAATTAGAGAGAAGAGAAATTCAGGAGGATAAGTCTCATTTTCAGCTGCCACTTTCTTGCTCTGAGCACATGCTGCTTCTCAAGGAAAGGCAAAGAGCTGGTGATACTGTGAGACTGGTGTATAAAAGTTGGATTTCAGTGTCTACAAAGGAAGAGTATTCCTAATAAATATTCAAGGCTTTAGATTGCAGCCCTAAAAGTAAAACACTCTAGGAATAAATGTGAATTAGAAATAGACCAGCCCTGGCAAAATTGAAGCCCAGCATGCAAACAATTTAATCCCTTCTAGGACTTCCCTACAAGAAGCAAAAGAAAATTTTTTCTGAATGAAGGTAATATCCATCAAAAGCCTCACATTTTCTTATAATTTTCTCATATGTCGTACCTGGCATGTAATCAGGATTTACCTGGCATCTCAGTAGACAAGACCAAATCATTGAAAACCAAGAAAAAAAAAAAAATAGCAGCAGGTGCATAGGAGATCCAGATACTGGCATTATGAAATATGGACTTAAAACATATGTGGTTAATATAGTCAAAAATTTAATGAAAAAATGAATTTCCGAGAACTAGAGTCTATTGAGAAGAATCAAATGAAAGTTCTAAGCCTGAAATATAATACTGAAGTTAATAATTAGGTAGATATTACAGACTATTAACACAGCTTAACATAAAATCAATGAACTAAAAGACAAGTCAGTCGCAAGTATCCAGACTATAGCACATGCAACACAGAAAAGAGTCACACTGAACATAGTGAAATGTCTAAATATGTATAATTGAAGTCCCATAGAAAGAGAATTGGGAAAGGAGAGGAGAAAAGCCAAGGCAAGAAAAAAGAAATGAAGTGAAGCTATACGCAGTACCTAATGATAGTCAGAGATTAAGAATCACTTTAAACCCCAAGTAGAATGAATAGGAAAAAACTAAACTAGGGCCCATTATAGTGTAACTGTTAAAAACAAAAGGTAAAGGGGAAATCTTGAAGGCAGCAAAAACAAAACTGGTACCTTCTCAACAGAAATAATAAAAGTCAGAAGGCAATCTTGCAAAATGATGAATGAGAATAAATGTTATGTGAGTTTAATAGTTCTCAGGTTTTAATATGAATATGAATCACTGAGGAGATAGGAAGGAAAAGAATGTTAAAATTTTAAATTCTCAGATCCCACTCCATATATTTGGACTTAGCAGCTCTATAGTAGGGCCAAGATTACTTTCCACAGCAGCGTTTCTGATAATTCTGATGCTGAGAATTTGTGATAGGTTGTTTACAATGATGAACAGGAACAATTCCTCCTATTCACATCCGCTTGCAATGACTTTGCCATTCCTCCAATCAGGAGGTGGGTTCTGTTTTTTTCCCCTTCTGAATCTTGGCCTGCCTTATGGCTTACTCTGAGCTACAAATAGGAATGGGTTGAGATGATGTTTTTACATCTGAGCGTTCACCTCAAACAGGCTTGCATTTTTAGTGACCCTGAAACTTCGTTGAACCCATCCTGCTGGAGATGGGGAGACAGGGACAGAGGTGGGGGGATTACATCTAGTAACAACTACTAGATATGTGAGGGAGTGTGAGTGAGGGATGAATCTGTTGGGTCCAACAAGGACAGAGAAACTACATAATATTTTGAGCAGGGAAAATTTCACGTAAAGAATTATTCATTATAATAGGGTTGAAACAGTGAAGGATTGACTTATAAGAGAACTCTAAAAAATATAAAAATAGGGCCGGGGATTTAGCTCAGTGGTTCCACCGCCTGCTTCACAAGCGCAAGGACCTGAGTTCGATCCCTGGTACCAAAAAAAAAAAAAAA